TTTTAACATTACAATTTTGTAAAAGCATATTTGTTACGTAATGTCTAATCAAAATCCATTAATGATATGGAATATTTTATGGAACGCCAGGACTATTGCAAGTCATCAGAGAAAGCATGGTGGTGTCCACTCATGGGGACTGACAATAAGCTCTTCCATCACTGTAATTATGGAGAAAACAGGGGTACGGTGAGAAATAATTTTAGGAATACCACAGGAGTTGTCCAGGCTGATTTCCGTATCTCCTATTTCTTCCAGTGATTTCGACAAACTATTATCAGTGTTAATAGAATTATTTGAGCGAAGTCTGGCACAAACGCTGTTATTTACTTAAAACAGAACCAGTTTCATGGAGAACATGTAATTTTATTGGAATTCACATTTTTTTCTTTACTAGAATAAAAAGGTTTTTCATTTTTTTATATGTACATATATAGGTCATACTTGCCTTTAACAAAGCTGATGCGTTACTAAAAGGGTACCCACGTGTGAGCCACGAGAACACGTTTCGCATAATATTTCTGAAATACTGCTGAATGTTCTGGTGGAGAGTTGGATTTCTGACTAACATTTCTTTGTTACAACCTCTTGAACGAGAGGCAATGAATTAAAGATGACAGGTTTATTAGTCCTTGCAAAAATCTTCTTCGCTAATATTTCGTTTCGATCGTTTCACCGGTACTGTGTGATTTACAACATCTCATGTGCAGAACTCTTACATCAGTTCGACGTTTGGTGACACAGTTGAAGTCCGAACCTGTAAAGTGAAATACTTCGTAGTAGGTTTTCACATCCTTTCCGTGAAACATGATATTTTTAGTTCCACGTACGTGGCTTTTAACGCTTGTGAATCATAATTTACGCGTTGCTGGCCATGGGTATACGGGGAGAGTGTTTCAGACTCCGGCGTCTTGAATGAAGAAGAGGAGACAGAAGAAAACGACCAAGGCTCCCTCAGCCAGACTGTGGCTATTTTTTTTTTTATTGCTTAGATGGGTGGACTAGCTCACAGACCACCTGGTGTTAAGTGGTTACTGGAGCCCATGACATCCACAACGTAAATGCGCCACCCACCTTGAGATATAAGTTCTAAGGTCTCAAGTAAGTTACAACGGCTGCCCTACCCTTCAAACCGAAACGCATTACTGCTTCACGGCAGAAATAGGCAGGGTGGTGGTACCCACCCGCGCGGACTCACAAAAGGTCCTACCACCAGTAACTTCCACTTCCACACAGTAGACTTCCATGGGTGTCCCGCTGCCACTGGCTTGATTTTCGGCGCCCTCAGACGTAGCTGTATCTTCTTTCTTCCTTCTCGGGGGCTTGACGCAGACCTTGCCTCCGGAGACATGGCTCGCCGCTCTCCCGTCAGAGACGCAGATGATCCATGGTCAATATCGATAGATGAAATGTTGAAAATGCAATCTTTAAGTGTCACATAACCAGAAGTCAAGCTCGTGTTCCTAGTAAAGGATCGAGGCGACTCAATTATTATTATATTATTTTAGTTGTTAGTTTTATATTTAATAGTTTTCATCTTAGGCCTAACCATCATGATTTTATTTCGTTTATATTTCTATGTACTATACCAGAATAAATGGTTGAAGGAAATTCATGTAACAGATTTTACAAACTCAAATCAATTTCTATCAAGTTGTTATGTCGTAAGCTTTAGATTTATTCTCTATGTTATTCTCTTGTATTTTTACTGACATTATTGCTATAAAAATACATTCATAGCATTATAATTTGTCCACAGCTACAAAATAATAAAATCGATTGCAAAAAGAAGAGAAAATGGTATTGAACTGTTCTATCTTTGCCTATTTGTATATGGATTAGTCATTACTAAATTTGATTTGAACAAAAATTTACTTTGATTTGATTTGACCCATTTTTATTTAGTTACGTAGTTGAACTTTGGCCTAAATTATGGTATTAAAATCAAAACTTAAATATTTTTTTATGTAAATTCATTTTGAAGAAAACAATCTTGATTTCGCAATAAATAGTAATAATAAATAAAACATTATTGCCAAAAAAATTAATCTGGGTTTTAACCTTGGAATAGTTATAGCGAGTTACATCTATTACATTATGGTCAGTGCTATAGAAAGCCACAAAACACGTAAAATTTTCTAGTAAAAATAGTGATGATAAATTTTGATAGCATGTTTAATGAAATTCCGCAAAATTGCCAAATATTTGACAGAACTACATTCTTATTTTTATTATCTTATATTTTATATTTGGTTGCTCAATTCACAATTATATGCGATCGTAATATGGACTGCGATCTTGACCTTTCGATGAGCGAATCTCCGATTACTTCAGTACGTTTGATTATTAATTACACTTTTTTCATTTTAATATCTATTTTTAAACCCAAAAAAGCTATATTAAACAGCGGCTGGAGCGACTTTATTATAATAATTGTTTTGAAAACAGTTTTTATAATTATAGTAGGCGATATAAATTATTTTATCGTTCCTTTAATATATTTTGTACCAACTAGTGTTTTCATAAGAACCTCTATATTACAGGTAAAAACTCATTGGAAATATCTCAAAGCAATGTTTATTGACGAATGACGAAATTATACATTAGGTAAGGCATTATGTCATTAGAAACTCATATCTTTAGCATTTTTATCACGTCACGCTTGTATTGTTAAGTATTTTGGCACATGGGAGCGTTAATGTCGAGATGTCGTTATGCTAATACAAACCGAAGAGGAACAAAACGAGTCTGGACAGATAGGCAGCTACGTCCGACCTTGACTTTTGATGCATTCACGTCTCGATGAAGCTATAAAAGTGCCGTATGTATTCTCGATTCTTAAATTAACATGGCTCTTGTGACGGGCATTTTAATTATTGGTTAATTTGTTCAATTTTGCTATTTTATTTATAGGTATATCGAGTTTTTCGTTGTGTTGCTACCTTTGCTTATACACATCAATGCATATACCTCCGACTCAGCTTAAGTCTCGAAGTCTAAATAAAACCGAATATCATTAGACCTAAACACAATTAATTAGAGTACATTTTACAGCACGTGAAGAAAAAACTTCAGCTTAAGAAGAATATTTCTCAGTAGGTTAGCATCAGCAAATCCGCTTGCTGTTCGGCAATTGATAATACACAAACATTGTTTAAATCACGGTATTGTTTGTTTTAGAATTTTAGGGATTTTTTAATTCTATTAACTATATTAATATGCAACTATTTGTGATTGTACAAAAAAGAAAAAAAATGTAGTGACAGTCACTCAAGGGATCCGGGGTCGTTCACCTGTATAACCTGAATAGTATCTGGACAAATAATATTTAAAAAGGTACTTGATCAAATTTAAAAAAAAAAAAACAACTAAAATTAGTATTTCTGAGTATTCGAATGATTTTATTTTGTCCGTATCCAATCGGTTTTCCTTAAGCGAAACGTAACGACCAAAATTCGCGCAGTCAACTTGTACCTACATACGACCTTTAGAAATTCTCGTGGATTTTTTATAAGAGATCTTTGCGATAATTGATTCTGGTGTCCAGATGCTGCGGTGTTCGCATTTAGTGGTTGTTAAACTGGTTACAGCCCTCTCGAGCTTGGCTCGTTGTAAAACACATCTGCTTTCTTTATTAATACAAAATTACAACAAATCTACTCATATGCGTTGGGAGCTCGATCGTTCAAGAATAAAAATAATTTTTGACTCGATCAATGCGAAAATTAGGCGAACAAACCCCCAAAGCAGAACCAAATTTTTGTTTTCTGCGTATTGTACCTAAATGCGTGCCTATCACGCATGACTTTAACTATGATTGAATAGTGACGTGAATAATAATCAAAAGGTCGCAATTCACTATCAGATTACACTTGTCTTACTTCCAAAGTAATAGATAACGTTAGTTGTCATAGGAAATATTCTTAGCCCGTACGCGTATGAGTGTACGCCATTACTGGCTCAAAACATACAGAGGCCGTTAAACAATACAGTTGAGAATCACAGTGATATCTCAGAACTACAGCAACTACTGTATATCAGACGAGTCGTGAGCTTGTAACCTGTAAAAATGACGCTTATACGTATGTAGGTACTTAGTACTGTAGTGACAGATTTTACCTTTGTAATGTTCAGAATATGAATCGAGCCTGTTCTGACAAACGAAGTGATGAGGTGTTTGACCTCTGATGATGAATTGTCGCTTTAAGGGCAAGCAACGCGTGGCACATTTGTTTCCTTGTTGCGAAACTGGGCGTTTGAACTTTGTATCCGACACGAATAATGCGGTAGGCACGCGATAAATTATCCTAACATTTTTTTCATGCCACTGCATAATGTAAATAAAATTACGTGATGTTACGGAAATTGCAATAAAAAAAATACAACACTTGGTTTTTTTTTTTTGATACGTTCATAAAATTCAATGTGTTAATTGTTCTTGGTCGTGATTTTTATTAATCGTTACTGTAAATTGGAGTTTATTTTAAAACAATTATACGAAGTGAGAAGCGATGTTTTTTATAGTTACAAAAACAACAATGCATGTGCCGTAATAACGCATCGAATACTTTGACTAGATCGTGTGTAATTTATGAATGTTTGCGTTGGCGCGTTGAAGTCTTTAATATTGAACGCGCAATGCACGTTTATTGTGTGGCTATAAAACAAAAAGTGATTCCCGAATAAGAAATAAATCGTTGCATTGAAACGTGATTACGATTACTGAAGTAATTTTAAAGTTAGAACTATAAAAAAAAATGTTGTTAAAATATCGAAAAAAGAACCCAATTTTTCATTTAAATTCGTCCAATTTAGTTCTTGTAAATTAAAACTTTGACTATTTATTCGGAATGATAATGGAAAAAGCTGACGTATAGCGCTCTGAAAGGCCTGAAGCTATCAGAAGGGAGCCTCGAGTCGGACAGGGTTATAGGAGAGGATCCAAGGGTGTAGTAGTTGGTGGGCATGCGGCTATAAGTAAGAGGTGCACGCGCGGCGGCGAGGTTAGTCGCCGTACGGCAGCGCGTTGGTGTCACTCCGTCACCCCCCTCCGGTGCGTTTCACCCCCGCGGCTCCCGCACGCACAGCCTTTCTCACACGATAACCGGCGATCTTCGCTTGCGCAACTTAACTAGAAACCGAAAGGTCGCCGCTATTGGCATTTAAGCGCAGTCTGACATTAGCGTTGCATTTAAATGTGCGATGCACAGCTTCCTCGTTGAGCATCACTGTCGCAACTGTGTGTCGTTTGGGAAAGGCGCGAGTGCTGACGCGAGGTCTCTGTTGCAGTCAGCAGCCCGATAGAGCCGGGCGCCGAGCGCGCACTCACCACTCCTAGTACCCGCACGACCTCACGTCACAACAACGACATGACCGCGTGGCCCGCCGTCGCCCTGTGAGTACACGACAAACATTAACTTATCCTAATACCCTGCATCATGTAACTAACAGATGTATTTGAAAAAATACACGAATTTATTACCTGAAATCACCTTGCGTGTGTATTACTTGTGTGCCTGTCTGTTTGCTTGTTCTTTCGATCATCGAGATAAAAATGCTTGACCGGTTTTGACTCTGTGATCTGAATCAACGAGTGTATTTTTTGTCTTGCTGTAACGAGCCCATTTTTTTTTAATAAATCCACATTTTTACACAGTCGAAGTTGAGCGAGAGAAACTATATTGCTTATTAACAAATAAATTGCTTTTTTTATATAAACATTTAAATCGCCAAAAAGGCAAATCATCTGTGAACATGAAAACTGTAAAGTAATCGAAATCAATCATATGTAAAAAGTGTCTAAGGCGTTTGAATAAATTGATTTCAATTTGAACTACGACTAGCGATAATTTTCAATAAATACTAATTGCATAATCAAAAAATCAATGTATTATGTAGTAGTTATTAACGATCCGTTCTCTAGGAAGTTCGTAAATAGCGGACCCGCAATCTCTAGCGAAGGTTAGCGATCAACCGCTCCTCGCGTCACCTAAGATGGTTGACACCGCTTGTCAACTGAATCTCATTCGCACTACATTGCCTACAGTCCAAAAAAGTACCAGTAAATATATTTTAGGTGACGCTTATTTTTATTTTATATGAATATTTCAGTTACTATCTACATTTTTAGAAACGTTTCCGATAGACTAAGGTACAATATTTTTTGCCGTGAAAATCAACGTGCAGATGTAATGTGTCACTCGACTACTTTCTAATATTGACTATAATTATTATGTGCTCGCACATTGACCAGCGTGCGGCTTGACGTGACTGAGTCCGTCCTTGCGGCGATTCACTTTCAACTTCGGTTTGCATCTATGACGTCCGCGGCATCGATGACACTGCGTTTCGTTTATAATAAATAATAAATATCGATAAAAATCTGTTCCGATACGATTTCTCGTGTGGAAATCAGGTTTCTGTTGCTCAACAACAGCCAGCCAACTGACATCACGAATGGGGGCGCGCATTTCTCAATGCAAAACATTGCTTATAAAATTATTCACGACTTGCGCCTGTAGTGTACGGATCGTACGCGTTACGCCGCCTGCTCTTGGTTGGCTGCTAACTCACGCGGCCAAAATGCTATTAACCCTCTGAAAATGTCTCGTAGATTCTCCATGGAACCTTAGTATAATTATGTACTTAATAGTTAAGAACAAGATATCAAATACGAAAGCGTTTGAAGGTTTCTTCATTCTTCCGCAATGGAGTAACGAAACAACGTATTTTTCTGCAAAGGGACAGCTTGTAGGCTGGAGAATATATCTTAGCATTGGATATCTTGTATATCGGAAAAATTGCTTATTTTATAATTTCCAAATAGCACAGCGAGAACATCGGATACAACTCTGACCACAAATCTATTCACTGATTTATCTTGATATTGTTTTATCTAAATACATTCGGAAACATGGTTACCCATTGTGAGATTTCTTTCTCGTGAACAAATATTCATTTCTGTTCGTATATCAGTAAACGCGGCGACAGTATTATTATTCAAACAACGACCGCAAACAGCGCGTCTTTCACGCTGCGAAACACAACTTTCAACCCGACCCGGGGTGCTCTCGTCACGTTCCGATGTTGTCTCTTACAACAATGATAACATAAACAATATATAAATATAACTTACATCGTTGATAGTACAAAAGCGTTCGCATAGTCGGCATCTATCAAAAAGTATTCATTCCCACAGAAGAAATTAAAGCTTGATGTTATTCGATGTTATTCCTTCACTGTGGAAGTCAATTGCGAGCATTTGTTGAGTACGTACTTCATTAGAAAAATTGGTAACCGCCTGGGATTCGAATCGCTCAACACGAACGCACTGCACGTCTTATCCCTTAGGCTACGACGACTTATAAACTTCGAAGAGCGTTGACAGCTTGTTAATATAATTAATAATGTAGATTGGACCACCTAATATCACTAATGGATTTTTAATTAATTTGAATGTACAAAACACAGTTCCTAAATATTGCTGATCGCCCTATTATGTCCGATTCTTCTAAACCGCTTTGTAAATGACATATTTAGACGCAGGATACACGTGTCTAATGTGCATTATCTAACACGTTCCATTGTCAAAGCTCTCTCTGGTTGCGACACAAAGTGTTAAGTAGATGCGCGAATGTACCCACGTACGTTCTAAGATATCGCATTATAATAAATAATAGATAAAGAATACTTCTTTTGCATTGTGTGACCTAACAGCTTTCAGTTTGTATTCAGTCAAATAAGAGTAATTAAACTTAACACTTTTTTGTGAAGCTCACTAATTCAATACAAGTTGTAGTAGCCTATAATAAGAAGACCCACGTTATCGTAGATATAAAGCAATGTCGCTTTTCAAATTCCACAGGTCGATATCGACTTTTAAGAAATTAAAATTAAATAATAACGTAATTTCCATCAAGTAATGACACCGTGTAATCAGAAATTAATGTAAAAAAAATTTCGTTTCATTGTGACGATTCCATTACATTGTTTTATTGTCTGCATCATTGAAGATAAAAGAGAGAAAATAATTTATAAATTTAAAATTCAGCACTAGCTTACATTCCGATAAAAGTAGATGATAAAATCCCTAATTTTAATTTAAAGTAAAATTAGGATTGCGGCTATTTTAAGTTAAATTCATAATTACATAGTATATTTCAGTCATTGCTTTTTAAATATGTTGGGCAAAATAATTTTAATGGTTCTTTTTTTCCATATTTTTTTTAAATATTTTGTAATACATTTCAATGTTATTATTGTCGGTCACGCTAATGCGGTCACGCTTTGTTATATTTATGGCAAAATTTTACATGAAATTTGCGTGCGTTCAGTATACCGACGCACTGTCCAACTCGTCATAAATTATTACTAGGGCCTATAGGAACTACAACATTATTACTGCTCTCCTCTTCGAGACCTGAGGTGTTTTTTTTTTTATTGCCCTTGTAGGCAGATGAGCATATGGCCCACCTGATGGTCAGTGGTTACCGTCGCTCATGGACTTCAGCAATGCCAGGGGCAGAGCCAAGCCGCTGCCTACCGCTGCATATTGGTATATTGTACTGTAGTGGTGTTCCGCTCTTTAAGCAGCGGGAATGTACTACAAGTTTATCTTGAAGTTTATCTTATCTCCAGCATAACTTAATTTTTAAAATGGAGCATCGAATACGAACAATTTAGTTCGAGATATAAAAAAAATTAGTAAACATATTTTATGTAACATAAAAATGTTATAATACTTTGTTTTATGTTTAATAAAAATAAATAAATAAAAGACATAAACCACAGATGCGATTACCTTAAAAGCAGTTGTCTGAATTACGGCTGATACAATCAGTTTCCTTTTTTCGTTCTAAACAAATAAGATTTTAAGATTTTATCTGATTTGTGTCGCCCACAGTAATAACTACAAATGGTCTTAAACCACACAAAGTATCATTTTTTGTTTGTTTTGCCTGTCATAAAACACGGACCAAAACGTGATGTTAAGTAACGAAGTTTTATTTTGTAAAACTCAAACTGCATTTACATCTCAAATTTGAAAAAAAAGAATGTAAATCTGTTTATAGCATTTCGAAAAATCCGAAAAAAATTATTAAAAATATTTTTCACACGAGGTCAAGTGAGCTCTGCAGAAATATTCTATATCATTCTCTCGCAGACCAAAGCCTATAAACTGTCCATGTATGTCAACGATTGTCTAGTTTCATTTATTTTTTAATCTAGGCTCAAATCACGACGATGTTAAGAAGTTATCACTTTAAAAAACATTATACTCCTTTACTTCAGTCTTGTAAGCTAAAGGTGTGACTAGGTCATAACCTTTCTGTCAGAACCGATCATTGGAACAGTATTGTTACGAAATTCTGTCATGCAATTGTCAAATAATTTACGTAACCATGCTAATAAGTAATGACATTAAGAATGTCTTATAAAAAAATGTACAAGAGTAAATAGATTTAATTAGCAAGCCTCACTGTCGTTACGAAGAAAGTCTGTATATCGTGTGGCAATAAGCTGGTGTCGATACAATTATTTCAATGCGTCATGTATGTCCGTGTTCAATAAAACACCTAATTCAGTAGTTTCAACATATTTTTGTCGAGATTGCAAGGATTGTTTTCACTTTCCCTTTTTAAAAAAAAAAAACATTTTGTTACGTGTCTTCGTAACTAATGCGAAATTCGTTTTGGCTTTTGTTTTTCGAATACAAATTACGATGTAGGAATTTCTCCGTGCTATAGATTTTCGATACGATGATAGAGCGGTCGTGAAGAAAAGAAAGTTGTATTTGCTGAACGCATTTATATCGTTATTGGACGCGTGCTTCAACTTCAAACATTTCAATTTATAATGAGTAGCGGTGTCTTACGTTTCATGATTGTTATAGTCAAAGACTTCCTTCCTATAAAGAGTTTCACGTTTGTCTGCGTTACACATATACAATGTGAGATGTATTTCTAAATTACTTAAATCTTTCTAATTTTAGTGCGGTTTTTTCACTGAAATCAAGTAATTTACCGTTTTCAGGTATATCATATTGCCATTGTCAAGTTTTAATTATCTCTTCGTCAACGTGTGCTTTCGTCATGTACGCGTTGTCAATTTTTGTGCCAGCTCAGTAACCAAGCCGGGCTATTGTTTATGAGCTTGCTCTCATAATTAGTACGTTACCCAACGTGATGTTGCGTTGTCCGGCTCACTCAGACAATGCCCAGCAATGAGTTCCCGTGACGTCTGAAGGTAAAATTGTCTTGAGTTAAAAGACATTTAAGATACGGACAATAATGGTTGTTTCATAATTCTTCTGACTATGTAGTATAGTTTTACATTAAATGGGATATTGTTTTCTTATTTTATTTTGGTTGAAAGTAAGATTGTCATTGCTTGTTA